CACAGACAAACAAACAAACACACACACAGACAGACTGGGCCAACATGCACCCCGAGGACCACCGAGACGCGCATTGCCCACCCGATGGGCTGCACGACCCCGTCGCTTTGGAAGCGGCCGGAGGTTTGCGCTGGATGGGACCCGTGAAAATCAGTCAAGAGAATGGGGGGCGAACACAAATCAGCCCAACATCGGTCCCCTGACCCATCCCGGGAGCGAAACTGACCAGATGTTCGAGCCTCGCCCAGCCGTGGCGTACAGGGCCCCCCATTTCGGCTGGTCAGAACCAGTGCTGGGCCACCTCACCCCCCAAGCTATCTCCAATCGTCGCCGCCTCTGGTCTAACGTCTAACATCGGCGGCGATCCTGGGGGCGGAGCGAGAGGGGGAAGGCCGTCTCGAACGCGGCGGGTCTTCAGAGGAGGCTTAGAAAGCGTCTCAAAGGCGCGAGGGCCCAGCCTCCTTCTGAGAAGGCATGCTCCCCCTCGACCCCTGTGGTTTTCGGACCAGAACCCGGGCCTCTAGCGGACGTTCGGGACAACCTGAGCACTCCCGGAACGCTCTCGATGAGGCGCAGCCGCTGGAACGCATCCCGAGGCTGGAAAACAGCCGAGAACCGACAAGAACGCCCGAAAACCTCGAGCCTCCAACGCGAAATCCCACCAATCCTCTGGGCGTACGTGGTTTGTGGTTTGACGAGGTTTGTCTTCTCCCGCAACCATCCCTGTCAAAACGCAAAACACACTTTGCCTCCAAATCCGGAGCCTGCGCAACAAACCCGATGCGGGTCCCCTCACCATCCCTGTTGAAAACAATACAGAGTACACTTTGGGACAAAGTCTTGAGTCATGTTCGTTAGGCCCGCGGGCACTTTGTATTGTGTTGACAAGGACGGCGGGGGTGTCAGCATATTGCCTGATGTGCGAAAGGCCACTATCCCTGTAACAAAACAATTCGACATGCACCTCGCGGTTAAATCTAGATCATGCGCGGCCACCCCGCGATCACTGTCAAGTGGTTTTTGACAAGGAAGGCGAGGGTGGTGGCGCATGAGGAGGAGGAGGAGGAGGAGGAGGAGGAGGAGGGAGAGGAGAGGAGGAGGAGGAGGAGGAGGAGGAAGGAGGAGGAGGAGGAGGAGGAGGAGGAGGAGGAGGAGGAGGAGGAGGAGGAGGTGGGCATTGGGTTTCGACAAGGATGGTGGGGCCCGGCGGCCGACATGTTTGCCGATGTGTGCTGTCACGTGCGCAGGCGCACCTGACACACTCGGCACGTGCCCCGAACGCGGTGCACCTGGCGCGGCTGAAGTATGCGGCACACCTGGCGCACGCGGAGCACGCAGCGCTTCTGGCGCACCAGGCGTGCCTGGCACGCTCGGGCCCCAGGGGTGCCAGACGCGCGTGGCGCGCCTAGCACGCGTGGCGCACCTCGCCCCCGTAGCTGTCCATCCAAAGACCCCGAAGCTCGGGTGCTATGCGCGTGTGTCGGGAGGGCGGGTGGACGTGAGCCGCCTAGCCTTCTATCCAGGAGGGTGCCTTGACCCCCTCGTCATACCCCCTCCCCCTGGGCCTGGCACGGGGGGGGGCGGCAGTTAGAGTCTCACGATGGGCCCAGGATAGCCCCAAGAAGGCCCTCGGCTGCCCAAGACGGCGTCCAAGGTGGCGCAAGGTGATTCAAGATGGGTCCAAGTGCCCTTCGAGTCTTCTGGGGCACCTCCGGGCCAGAACCCGTCGACCCAAGGGAAATCAATATGTGTTGCCTTCTCGCTTTTTCACCTCCGATGGGCTTTCGATGCCACACATGATGGCCCCAAGATGGCCCAAGATAGCCCCAAGACGTCCCCAAGAGAGCCCTAAGACGTCCCGAAGAGCACCCAAGAGAGGCTCAAGAGCGGCCTCAGAGGGCCCCAAGACGTCATTTGTGAGTCTCCGAGGGGGGGGCCTTACTTGACTACCCCCCTTCTTTTCGAGCCATGAGGGCCAAGAGGCCTCCCAGACCCTTCCAATGAGCCCCTAGAGGGCCCCAAGACCCCCAAAACGAGCCCCAAGAGGGCCCCAAAAGTGCCCAAACTGGCTCCACGGGGACCCCAAGAGAGCCCCTAAGATGGCCTCAATCGTCCTTCAACAACCCCTCACAACAATTATATATATATATATATACACACACGTATGTATATATTATCATGCTCCTTGTCGTCGTCCGTTCCTTCCCTCCTCCTTTCCTGTCTCCTCCTTCCCTTCCCCCTCCTCCTGCTGCTGCTACTCACGGCGGACTTGATCGTAGATCTCCTCCTCTTCCTCCTCCTCCTCCTCCTCCTCATCATCATCAGCATCATCATCACCACCACCACCATCATCATCAGCAGCATCATCATCATCATCATCACCACCACCACCATCATCATCAGCATCAGCATCATCAGCAGCAGCAGCAGCAGCAGCATCAGCATCAGCATCAGCATCATCATCATCAGCAGCATCAGTATAATCAGCATATTATAACTATTCCTCGTGCCATATTCCTCCTCCTCCTCCTCTTCCCTCTCCTTCTCCTTCTCTCCTGTTCCTCTTCCTCCTCCTCCTCCTCCTCCTCCTCCTCCTCGTCCTCCTACCCCCGAGATGGTCCCAGGAGGTCGAGCATGGTGCAAGGTGGCCGCCGACAGAACTCCAAGAGGCCTCAAGACAGCCTCAAGATGGCCCAAGATGATTGAGCAGGACTCAAGATATCCTGCGACAGCCTCTGGCCGGGCATGGCGATGGCTGGCCCCCAAGAGGCCTCAGGAAAGCCTCCGAGCGTGTCTGGATGAGCAGACCTCCCAGACTTCCCCCCTCGGCGCGACGCCGATAATGAAGGGGCCCTGGGACACACAAATAAATGCACACAAATAAAAAGATTCCCCATATTTTCTCATAATTTCTCGGCTTTTGTCTTCCCCGCCACTTCCCATATTCTCCCATATTTCTGGGGAATGGAGGATGAATTGTGTCTGTGTGTTTCTTTCCCTCCTGAGATCACGGGGCGGCTGTCCCCCGGGCCTGCGCCGCGGGCGCCGGCGTGGCTGCCGCGGCCGTGCCGCTCGCGTCCAGCGCCGCGGCCGAGGTCGCGGCGGGCGCGCCCTGCGCGGGCTGCGTCGCCGAGGCCACGGCGGGCGCCACCTGCGGCGGCGGAGCTCGGCCCACCACGACGACGACGACGACGACGACGACGACGACGACGACGAGAACGGCGAGGACGAGGACGTACGTCGAGGACGACGTCGCCGACGACGACGCAGACGAGGACGCCGACGACGACGCAGACGAGGACGCACGCAGACGACGACGTCATCGTCTACGACGTCGTCTGCGACCGACGACGACGACGACGACGACGACGACGACGACGACGACGACGACGACTGGCGTCTGCGTCAAACGACGGAAATCTCTGGCGTTCCTCAAGGTTTCCGTAGACACGGCTGACACCCGGCCAGAATGTACCGTGGTAGCTGTCCCAAGGGCCGATTTGATCGGCTTCTGGTCGGAGGACGACAACGGCGAGGACGACGGCGGCGACAGAAGCGACAAGGCGACGACGAGGCCAGGGAGACCGCTAAGGAATAACCCAGGAGCCCGTTGAGGCCAGCCTGGGTTACCTCCAGGGGCTGTGTGCGTAGCCCCGACCAGTGGCCAGGTGGAGGTCCAGACCTCCTCCTGGCGTCGTGGGACACTCATGACACATCATGCTGTCTCTATTTCGGCCTGCGGATGTAGACGGCAACAATTAAGCAACTCTGCCCCTCCCCCGAATCTCGAAGCTAGGATGCAGAGCTGGAGCACCCCCTCCCAACGAGCAGAACTCCTGATGTCCAACACCAACTCTGAAAGGGGGGCTTCACACCACATTACGGTCGGACTCAGGACAGAAGAACATCCCTCAAGAACATGAGACCCTCCGCCAGCCCAAACACACAGAGCATCCAAGGGTACCCTCCCCAGGATGCACAAGAACATCCAACAAACACGAAGAACACTAAGGTATCCTCCCCGAATCGACCTCGATCTTCTGCCTCGATCCGACCGTACCTGAACAGTGCTTGCACTAAAAGGGTCTTGTCTAATTGAGCGAGTATAGCACTCCTTGGTCCCCCCCGGGCGGTTGGCACTTCCGTCGCCGCCACGGTGCGCTGGCTGGCATCTCCAGGTGCTCGCACGGTTGGCACTCTCGGTAGAGAGCAGAAAATCAACCCTGATAAGAAGCAACCCGACAAGCGAAGTCGTCGAGTAAACGCACCCAAGGCAGGGATCGAACAGGGCATAGCTGTTTAGCAGACGCCCAGGGCCGTTTCGCAAACGCCAATTATCGGGGTCGGGGTTGGTTGTTCTCTCTTGACTTGGGCCGATTCGGAAATTGAATGACCACTCCGTTCCGCGCCTTGGTTCTTCCCCCCTGTGTGGTTTCAGGAATGGAGTATACCGTGCCCCCCCCCCTACCGCGCGCGCTCCCATCGCTGAGGGCAAATCCCAATGGCCCGCTAGGGTTAAGTAGGTGTGGCTCGTACTCGGCTCGAGGAGCCCGTGCTCTGCGATCCCGACCTGCTGGAGGACAGCCCCCAGCGCAAGTGGCCCAGAGATAACTCCATATCGGGGATGCATCCGACGGGCACAAAGGTCAACCCCACCATCCCCGTTCCCCGTTCCCTTCTGGTGGCGGACGACGCCGTGCAATGGCTCGGCATCATATACATATGATGTCTGCGTCAACTCGTTTGGCTCTACTGTTCTCTTGAGGTTTGTCTGGTGCTGGGCCTCCTGAGTGGACATTGGTGGTACCTGATCCCCTTCGTCTCGGCCTTTCTCTTAGCTACTCCAATTGATTGGTTCCATGATGGTGATTGATTGAATGTATCACCTTCTCGATGCGCTCGCCCCCGTCTGTCACCCGAACTCGGCGTGTCGTCCCAGGTGCTCACTGCTCCCCCTCGGTCATACTCCCTCCTCGTCTTCCTCAGCCTCCTCATCGCGCCTCGGAGGTGCAACCGCAGATCATGTCGTTTGTGTTGGGGAACACGGACATGTCGTCTTCGCAGGTAACCTCCCTCAGAATCCGCCACCGTGCCTTCGGCACGCTGAAGCGAGCCAAAATGCCTGCTGGTTGTCTGGTACTTCGGGTTCATGTAGTGTCGGAAGCGGCTGGAGGGTCTGCACTGGACGGGCCCCGGGAAATCGGTCAAGTGGGGGGGACGAAGACAAATTCGCTCAAAATCAGTCTCCAGACACCTCACGGGGTTAAGCCTGACCAATTTTCGAGCCGCGATCCAGCCGCGACGTCGAGGCGGCCGCTTTCTCCCGCCCTTTCTGCTGGCCGGAACCAGTCCAGCCCCCTAGCCGTCTTCAAGGTCTGGCCCCCCCCCCGCCCCACCACCCTGAGGAGAGCACAACACACGACGTGCTAGTTTTGGCGCGCGCTTGGGTACCAAAACGGCCTTCACCCCAAGCCAGCACCCACTGGATTATCAGTTCGGGAGTGGGGGTCCTGGGTGAGGGTGGGGGTGGGTTGTGATGTCCTCACCCTCCCTCCCAACGACAATACATCGAACCCCCGCAGTCCACCCGTCTCTTCCCGAAGCCCTTTTCGGCCTCTAAGCGGCTGAGAGACCACCCCAAGACGGCTGCAGGATGCCCGACGACTGGCACAAGCCAGCCCAACGACCACTTTCGTGGCGCCACAATGTTCCCAAAGAGGGCGAAAAGATGCCCAGAGAAGCTTGAAACAATGAAGACCCATGGATGTTATTGCTTGGGGCTTCCGGAGCTTGTCGGCTTCAGATCGCTCTGAAGTCTTGAAAGACCATAAAGAACCCCCCAACACAGCCCCATAGTTAAGGGACATCAGACGGCCCGAGAACTCCCCAAGCAAGCCCAAGGCCGCTCGAAGCGGGTTACAAAACAGCCCAAAGACCCGCCCAGGCGTCCCCAAAATGGTTCCACTGAGGCTCTTCGGGGAGCTCGGTTGAACCATTGCGACCAAGACGGCCCCGAGAAACCCCGACAGGCCCCAAAAGGCCTCGATAAGCCCCAAGAGGGCCCTGCGAGCTTCCCGGAGACGCCCCGAAGAAGCCCCCGAAGCCTCCAAGAGGGAGGAGGGAGGAGGGAGGGCGGGAAAGGAAACAGAAGAGGAAACAAGCCCGAGGACAAAGAGGGGGCGGATCGTGCCAGCGCGAGCTTAGAAGAAGAAACAACTGCATTATGCTTGTGCTGTGACTTCTTGCTCTATCCAAGGCGCTGAATTAGAGCGGGTATTGAAACCATCTCTGCCCTGGTGCTGCGCCGGCATGGTGGTGGGGCCTGCCGCAGGCGGCTGTATGCTGCACCCGTTCGCGTGCACAACAGCGTCGTCTCCCACAGCATCGGCCGCGGCATAGAAGCACGCGTGCTGGAAGCTGGCGCAATAGTTCTGGGAGGGCAGAAAGCGGGAAGACAGACAGGCAGAGACACAGACAGACAGACAGACAGACAGACTGACTGACAGACGGACAGACAGGCAGACGGACGGACAGACAGACAGACAGGCAGGCAGACAGGCAGACAGGCAGGCAGGCAGGCAGGCAGACAGACAGACAGGCGGGCAGACAAGCAGACAGGTAGACAGGCAGACAGACATAGAGGGGCAACAAGCAGCCAGGACGAGCCATCAAGCGGCAGTCAGCGTCCCCTCGCTAAGTGACACTACATACTTCCTAAACCGGTGTGAATGCTGTCTTCGCCTCTGGATGGCCGTCTGGTTGGTTACTTGGCTACCCCCTCCTCCTATCCTCTTTCCTTCCTTCCCCCTACTCCCCCTCTCACCCCCGCCCCACTCCTCATCACCCTCCTCCTTCTCCCCCTCCTCCCCCCCGCAATTCGAAGGTGGACCCCGAGACATGAAGCAGTCGGGCGAGGATGCCCTGAATAGTGCAACTCCAGCCTGAAGGCCCCATCCTATCTTGAGGGCCACACCCACCTCCTCCTGATCCTTGAAGCCTTGAAGCTACAGCTCGCTTTGGTCAGCCCCGGACCCTCACACTGTGTCTAAAAGGGCCTGCGGGGGTGAAGGGGGCAAAAAACCTCGCTTGATAATTGGCGGCCACACGCTCCCGGGAGAGGGAGCACATCCACGCCCAAAGCACGTCGCAGCAGGAAGTAAAGGAGGGAGGCGATGTTCCCTTCGATGTCCCTCCTCCCCCTCCTCCCCCTCCTCCCCCTCGTTCTCCTCCTCCTTCTCCTCCTACGTATCCTCCTCCACCTCTTGGAGGATGGCCAACTCAGACAACGGCGGATCTCCCGCCCAGCCCAAGTCTGTTCTAAATCGATTCCCGCACTCCCCCCAGGGTCCGCCCTGAGCTGTCCTTCAAACTAAATCTGGCCGTGGCGACGGGAAGCCCCCAGGAGGCCTGGAGAAAAAAAACAGCGACGCCGTTGTCTCAACTGGCCCTCCTCAGCCGTCTCCTCCTCCCCCTCCATTCCCCCTCCTCCTCCTCCTCCCCTCCATCCCCCTCCCCTCCTCCTCCTCCTCCTCCTCCTCCTCCTCCTCCTCCTCCTCCTCCTCCTCCTCTCCTCCTCCTCCTCCTCCTCCTCCTCCTCCTCCTCCTCCTCCTCCTCCTCCTCCTCCTCCTCCTCCTCCTCCCCTCCTCCTCCTCCTCCCCTCCCTCCTCCCTCCTCCTCTCCTCCTCCCCTCCTCCTCCTCCTCCTCCTCCTCCTCCTCCTCCTCCTTCCTCGTCGTCCTCCTCCGCCTCCTCCTCCTCCTCCTCCTGGTCGTCCTCCTCCGCCTCCTCCTCCCCTCCTCCTCCTCCTCCTCCTCCTCCTCCTCCTCCTCCTCCTCCTCCTCCTCCTCCTCCTCCTCCTCCTCCTCCTCCTCCTCCTCCTCCTCCTCCTCCGCCTCCTCCTCCTCCTCCTCCTCCTCCTCCTCCTCCTCCTCCTCCTCCTCCTCCTCCTCCTCCTCCTCCTCCTCCTCCTCCTCCTCCTCCTCCTCCTCCTCCTCCTCCTCCTCCTCCTCCTCCTCCTCCTCCTCCTCCTCCTCTCTCTCCTCCTCCTCCTCCTCCTCCTCCTCCTCCTCCTCCTCCTCCTCCTCCTCCTCCTCCTCCTCCTCCTCCTCCTCCTCCTCCTCCTCCTCCTCCTCCTCCTCCTCCTCCTCCTCCTCCTCCTCCTCCTCCTCCTCCTCCTCCTCCTCCTCCTCCTCCTCCTCCTCCTCCTCCTCCTCCTCTCCTCCTCCTCCTCCTCCTCCTCCTCCTCCTCCTCCTCCTCCTCCTGGTCGTCCTCCTCCGCCTCCTCCTCTCCTCCTCCTCCTCCTCCTCCTCCTCCTCCTCCTCCTCCTCCTCCTCCTCCTTTTCCTCTTCCTCCTCCCCTTCCTCCTTCTCCTCCTCACGTGCGGGCGGCGGTGGCGGCGCGCCCCGACGGCGCGCGCCTGCCCACTTTCTCCCGGCCGCCGCCCGCGGGTGCCGCTCGTCGACTCGACGGCGCCTCCGCTCGACGTCGTCCCTGGCCGCTCGCCAGCAGAGAGCCCCATGGCCGCCGAGGCTCCGCCGAGGCCCCGACCCCTCGGGTCGCCGACCGCCGATCGCTGGCTGCCGAGCCCCGAGACGAGCGCCGAGCGCCGACCGCCGCCGAGCTCTCGGATGTTGCCAGAGGCGGTCCTGGCCCGAGGTGTCCCCAGCTCTTCGTGTCGTTTTGGAGCCCCTGGGGCCCCCTGGGCCCCGCGAGGGGTTCTCTGAATGTCGTCTGGGCCTCCCCGGGAATTCGGAGGACACATTGGGCCAGAGACACAATTTGCAACACCTTAATCTCCGGTCCGACGGACGGCGGGCTGGCGTCAGGTTACGTAGCTGGCCTCCCCCGCCAATGTATGGGAGAAGACCTTGGACGAATACCCAGGGACGTACCCAACCCTTTGCACACATGAGCCGACTATAAGTCGGACCGCTCAATACAAAAGCGAGCACTGAAGGATCCGCCGTGCCCCTGAACGATTCGCCAAAAAACGTGGGGCCAGAGTCACATGTTCACATATGCGGCGTCGCTCTGAAGAGTCAGATCGTTGGCAGGAAGTCGGCCACAAGGGAGTGTGGAAACACAAGACGGAGAAACGATTAAAGACATCATTCGTGGGAGCATCGGCGCTGGACCCCAAAACGTCGCAACCCAACACCCCAGGGGATGGCGAGGTCTCATGGTGATCTGCGTAAGACGCACCTCCGCTGGGAGGAGCCCACGAAAGCGGCGACAGGTTCGCAGATCGCAGCCCCCCAGGGGACGGCGAGGTCTCGTGGTGATCTGCGTAAGACGCACCTCCGCTGGGCCTCCCAGGAGCCGAAGGAAGTGGCCACAGTTTCGCAGAACGCAACCCACCAGAGAACGGCGAGGTCTCGTGGTGATCTGCGTAAGACGCACCTCCGCTGGGACTGCCAGGAGCCGAAGAAAGTGGCGGCAGTTTCGCAGATCGCAGCCGGCAGTGGACGGCGAGGTCTCGTGGTGACCTGCGTTAGACGCACCGCCGCTGGACCTGCCAGGAGCCGACGCGGAAAACGCACCTCCGGTGGGCCTCCCAGGAGCCGAAGAAAGTGTCGACAGTTTCGCAGATCGCGGGCCCCCCAGGGGACGGCGAGTTCTCATGGTCATCTGCGTAAGCGCACCTCCGCTGGGCCTCCCAGGAGCCGAAGGAAGTGGCGACAGGTTCGCAGATCGCAGCCCCCCAGGGGACGGCGAGGTCCCATGGTGATCTGAGTAAGACGCACCTCCGCTGGGCCTCCCAGGAGCCGAAGAAAGTGGCGACAGTTTCAGTTTCGCAGAACGCACCCCCACAGGGGACGGCGAGGTCTCGTGGTGATCTGCGTTAGACGCACCTCTGCTGAGCCTCCCAGGAGCCCACGCGTAAGACGCACCTCCGCTGGGCCTCCCAGGAGCCGAAGAAAGTGGCGACAGTCTCAGTTTCGCAGATCGCAGCCCCCCCAGGGGACGGCGAGGTCTCATGGTGATCTGCGTAAGACGCACCTCCGCTAGGCCTGCCCGGAGCCCACGAAAGTGGCGACAATTTCGCAGCTCGCAGCTCCCCAGGGGACGGCGAGGTCTCGTGGTGACCTGTGTAAGACGCACCTCCGCTGGGCCTCCCAGGAGCCGAAGAAAGTCGCGACAGTTTCGCAGAACGCAACCCCCCAAGGAACGGCGAGGTCTCGTGGTGATCTGCGTTAGACGCACCTCCGCTGGGCCTCCCAGGAGCCCACCGAAGTGGCGGCAGTTTCGCAGATCGCAGCCCCCTAGGGGATGGCGAGGTCCCGCGGCTATCTGCGTAAGACGAACCTCCGCTAGGCCTCCCAGGAGCCCACGAAAGTGGCGACAGGTTCGCAGAACGCACCCCCCCAAGGGTCTCGTGGTGATCTGCGTAAGACGCACCTCCGCTGGGCCTCCCAAGAGCCCGCCGAAGTGGCGACAGGTTTGCAGATCGCAGCCGGCAGTGGACGGCGAATTCTCGTGGTGATCTGCGTAAGACGCACCTCCGCTAGGCCTCTCAGGAGCCGAAGAAAGTCGCGACAATTTCGCAGATCGCAGGCCCCCCAGGGGACGGCGAGGTCCCATGGAGATCTGCGTAAGACGCACCTCCGCTGGGACTGCCAGGAGCCCACGAAAGTGGCGGCAGTTTCGCAGATCGCAGCCGGCAGTGGACGGCGAGGTCTCGTGGTGATCTGCGTAAGACGCACCTCGCTGGGCCTGCCAGGAGCCCACGAAAGTGGCGGCAGTTTCGCAGATCGCAGCCCCCACAGGGGACGGCGAGGTCTCATGGTGATCTGCGTAAGACGCACCAGCGCTGGGACTGCCAGGAGCCCACGGAATGGGCGGCAGGTTCGCAGATCGCAGCCGGCAGTGGACGGCGAGATCTCGCGGTGATCTGCGTAAGACGCACCTCCGCTGGGCCTGCCAGGAGCCGAAGAAAGTGGCGACAATTTCGCAGATCGCAGCCCCCCCGGGGACGGCGAGGTCTCGTAATGATCTGTGTAAGACGCACCTCCGCTGGACCTGCCGGGAGCCCAGGAAAGTGGCGACAGGTTCGCAGATTGCAGCCCCCCAGAGAACAGTGAGGTCTCATGGTGATCTGCGTAAGACGCACCTCAGCTAGGCCTCCCAGGAGCTCACGGCACCTCCGCTGCGCAAGTAACGACACCCGAGCGAGCCGCGGGCACGAGGCAGGACGCAGGCGGGAGGAGAGAGGGAGAGGAGTGAGAAGGGAGGAGGCGGAAGGAGGGGGAGGATGAGGAGGATGGAGCAGACAGTGCTCTATTCAAAACGAATACCCGACCAAAATAAGGTTGGGAATAAACCCTGAATGATCACCCGTGAGGCACCCGCGCTGATCGCTCACCCTTGAACGAGCACGGCTTTCCGATAGTGCCAGTTGCTCGACATCAGCCGATTGCTTTCCACTGGCGG